CTATGTTTTTTTAGCTGACATTATAATACAGCGACACTTTAAAACCGTCAAGAAATTTACTTATCGTATCCTTAGTGAGGTCGTTCACCCCCTCGACCCTGAACTAGTGTCTGCAAAGTCTTTCCGTACTATGCGCTGAAGCTTTCGTCATATGTCTTGCCGTATATCGACATAATAGCAGTTTGTACTTCCATTCGTAGCACGCTACCTCACGTGTGAAGAAACGGAAATAGAGAAATTAGAAGCCGACCTGTCTCCATAACAGACATGGATATCGCGTAAACCTTCACCCTTGAGTATTATACGACTTTTACTATAACCCATTACCTTACCTCATCCTTAGTTCTCCGTGAATGGAAGGATTTTTTGCTGAAAATTTTGGATGTTACCTTCAAAATAAAGCATTTTCTCTCTTACCCTGATTGACCTGCGTGTACATGATAAGTTGGTCAAGGCTTGGTGTATACGTAGTTCAGTCAAAATCAATACTCTAGACCGGACTGACAGAAGAAACCATGTTACCATTTGGAAAAGTAGGCTAACTGTAAATACGACTGAACATGCGAGAAGGAGAAGATGCGATCGCCAGGGTAAGACTTTTATTCGCCTGATGTTTTGAAGTCCGTTGCGAATCCTTCGTCAGAGACATTAGCATAAACAGTAGCAGAAACGGATGATTCAGCCTCAGAGGGTTGCAGTTTTTGTAGGACGCAGTCATTACTGCACATTAATGACAGTTAGCGACTCCCCTATCGAGGACAGTTGCTCGCTCGTGCGCTAATTGCTTGATGACCTACTTGCGGGCCGTGACCTGTTGAACTTGCATCACACATGGTGGAATTAAACAAGGTGATTGCTCGACCATTCGGTTTCCCGGCGTTGATGTTTGACGATGCGTTGGCCTGTACGTTCCGCAAGTGGCGACTTTCTTTGGCCAAAATGAGTTTCAGCACCGAATATGGAGTTAGCAGGTTGTTGCATTTGTTTCTAGACTGGGGGCCTGTGAACCATGACTCAAGTAATTCGCGACTCACAGGATTGTCACTTCTCGCGAGAACTTTGGTCTCATCAAACTTGAATGTGTGGCTGGGTCTTGTCGAATGAGCCGCAACTTCGGGATTGGAATCATTTCTCTGCACTGGTGCCAGGTGTTCGTCAATTGGCGTCTTGAGAAGTCTGCGAGTTTCTTCTACGTTTTTACTTTATCTGCAAATCCAGATATTTGCTGACTTGGCAGTGGGTCCTTTGGTTTCATTATCTGACGCCTTATGGTTGCCACCGGCCTGTGTGCGACTCCAGCTCCAAGTTGTGCGAGAAGGTGGCCGACGGCCTTCGGGACGCACGGAATCGCTCACCAAGATGTGGGATCGGTGCGATTTTGTTGCCAATCTCGTTTGCGCAGGCACTGGTTAACGAAGTTGTGCTGGTAGCCACTTTCTCTGAATACCCGTCGAAGATATTGTGTTTCGGCAACTTTATCTTCTGGCTTACTGCAGTGTGTCTCAACACGCCGATAAAGCGTTCTTACACAAGTGTATTTTTGGCCGATTGGGTAGTTGCTGTTGAAGTTCTTTATTTGCATCGTATTCGTCCATTTCCTGCACACTTTGGTTTTTAGGCTACCGAAATCTTTGCGGCAGATGAGGACATCAAGGAAGACCAGATGTTTGTTTTCTTCCCACTCTCCATCATTATTTGTATGCCCGGAAAGACGCTGTTGAGACGTTCTTTCAAATTGAGCACCTGATCCCGTCCAATGACGAGGAAGCTATCATCCACAGCCAGCTTATGTAACAGCACAGAGCATCACATGTGCAGCTTAGAACACACATAAGTAAACATGAACGAGCATGCTTACTGTGCAATTTTTTGAAACCAGATGCACCATGACGGTTATCATTCGTTTGTCTTAATTTAGTAACTCAATTGTGAAAAATTCACGGTCTCGGTGGAAGTCGAACTCACACAGCAGGGAAGGCTTTTGTGCACCCAACACTTTACCATTGAGTTACGAGTTTCACCGTGATTGTTTAGGAAATCCTACCTGGGCAGTCAGCTTGCTGCTCCGCAATGGTGGATTCCATTCGAGCAGTGAGTTGGGCGAGTAAAATCGACCCAAGTGTGATTCAATTCACGGCGCACGGTAAGCTTCGTAGCTCAGTGGTAGAGCGTTAGCTGCGCAAACGGTTTCCGTACTGTGTTGTGGATCCAACTCCCACCGAGCTCGCGAATTTTTCAAAATGTTGGCAAGTGAACAGGAAAAGTTTGTCAAGGCTT